AAACAATCAACAAGACATAAGTAATCAATCAACAATTTAACAGACATAAATAAATGATCAACAAGACATAAAATAAACAACAATCAAGAATTAAGGCACTTGGGTATCAAAGGCAAATATATGTCAAATGTGTAGACGAATGTAAACTAAGTGTGTCTCTGTGTGTGTTTTGCAGGAATGGGAGCAGAAGAATGGCACATAAACCACCCAACCCCTCACATCGTCTTACTCTGATTTCTTTTGACTTTTTAAGGAATTGTGTATATATTTATTTAAAACTGTTCATACAGTCTGAGTGTGTTGAGGAGGACACAAGCATAGCATTCACATGAACCAAAACTAGTTGCTGGTTTAAGTGTACTGTCAGTACCACACATACAGACATAGCAACCTTTTTAAACTTTTTTACTATTGAGCATGCTCAGTGTACTAAGTTGTGCAACTTGTGTTGTCCGCCGTACTCGTTTAAAGCAACCACCTTCTTTTTCTCTCTCCTTTCATTCAAATCTGTTCCAGCAGATTGACAGTTTGGATTCAAAAAGGTTAAAGGTCAAAACCAAGTATTTATTTGTAAATGTTTAAAGGAAATACTAGCTTCCCTCTTTATTTATGTTGATATATTTAAATTTTTTGTTTGTAGAATTTGTGGCGCTCCACAGAATCCCGTTCCCTACACACTTAATGCTTCTCATTCATGGGTGTCAGCATCAGCCAGCAAAGTGCATCATTAATGGTCACAATTATCACAACACACACCGGCTGAGTAACAGCGCAGCTCCGCTCGCAGGGGTATTTACAGAAGCAGAATTATTCCAAATGAAAGGCAATAGATGAAAGCAAGGTTGATCTGCATGGCTGTGAGACACTTTGACTGTCAGCTGAGGAGAACCTAGATATCCAAAGCAGTATGGGTGCAGACAATGAACCTTTTTTGCTCAGGGTCACAAACTGTGACTGTAATACTCAAGAGTGTCCCATCCCCACAAATAATGACGCCATTATTTGCTTTGGTTTGGTTATGGTTGGGACACTTTACGGACATTTTTACACACAAAGTGATGTTTCGCTCTTTAATGGCATAGATTTGACTCTTTTGCCATGTCTCCAGCCAGCAGAGACACTAATTGACAGGTGCATTTTTATGTCCCTGACCTGCATGCAATATGAAGGTATGTTGGTGGGTAATACTTTAACCTATATATACTTTTATTATGTGTATTTCCTTTCAACTAAATTGAATATATCCTAAATTTCCCTCTGGATCATTACAGTGTTTATCTATCTTTCTACAAATAATGTATATTCAGGAGTACAGCCAAAAATAATTGATATAAAAAAAATAAATAAAAGATTTAAACTCTCAGCTTTGGAGAAGATGCATTTTCCTATAAGGAGTTTGAATGCTAACAGAATAATTGTGCTTCTTTAAATAGTCCTTCAGTGTGATGATGGGGGGCTGTCATTAGGCTGTAGAAGGACTTTAGCCGGGTGTGTGTTAGAGTTTGGAAAGCCGGGCAGGTCAGGCTGAGGCGTGGCCACCCCAAGATTTGGCGCCCATCATTGGAAAACTCAGAAACCTCAAAAACATGGCTGACAGTAGTCCCTCGTCCAAGAGCCTCGGTCCAGTTCCTCTGATCACGCCACTGGTTTACTGTAGCCCTGTGATCTGACCCTGTGTGTGTTTGTGTGTGTGTGCGTGCGCTAAAATGTCTCCAAGGCACATTCCAAACCCATCAACAATACACTGACTGAAATAGAGGCACTTGCTGTAAACTCAAATTGCTGTGTGTTCTGCTGAATCAAAGACTGTGACTTTGATTTTCAGACTGCTTCACACACACACAAACACACACACACTCATTAATGTCACGTTTTTATGGTGCTTTTTTAATGGCTTTACATTCCACTGCTCACGCTTTGCAGCCATGTTGATACTGCTGAGTATACGTGGTGCTTTATTGTTGACAGAAGTAGCGTTAGCATGCACTCCAGGTAGAGTTTGGAAACCAATGCTACATACAGCACGTGGGCGCAAACTGCTCCTCAACCGTGTAAATATTTCCGTGCCCTTCCTGCTTTCAAATGGGTAGCCCACAAGTCTGCGATCTAGAGTGTAGTCAGCATGTTAGCATGAAGACGGGGGCGCATGGGGAGTTATATCTATAGTATTTAGTTCATTTTGATTCCCTGTCGGCTCAGCGTGGCTTATAACTGATGTCAGTAAATGTGAACCTGCTGTACATAGCTTGGCTTGGTGGGAGGGGGGTGGGTGTGGGGCGGGCGAGTACACACTCATACATCAGTGTTTGTTTTTGCACCTTATACATTTTCTACTCTGTTGTATTCTCAGACGGTCTCCGCCTCGGTGACAGACATGCTGTACATACGTTAATAAAGCTCCTGACAAACAGCCCTCAGTGACTCTGTGCTTTATTGAGCAGGTTGTTATTCATTCATTCATTCACTAAAACGTTCACTGAGTCCAGTTTGGATTCAAAGCTGAGGTGCAAGTGGGGAAACCGTTCAAGGTGAATCTGTCCTTGAAGTGGTCAGATGAATGGAAATTTGAATTTCAGCCTTCACGAGGAGGGAAAAAGAAGGAGGAGGGAGAAAGGTGTGCTGTAGCACTTCTGTTTCTCTGTGATGCGTGGTGAATGATGATTCAATCTGCTGACACACAGTGTCACACACTATTGTCACTGTACAGACCGCAACCCTGAATACATCCTGTGACAGAGCAAGAGGCCTCCAGACAAGAGTTACATTTTTTTATTTCAAATAAAAACTAGTGGCACCACGCGTCACATTTTCAAACAATAAAAAATAACAGTTTATGATTTTCTTAGTTCCCAAAGAGCAGACAGAAAGGAGAGATCTGTGGCTTCAGGCAGACAGGATGAAACTTTTTTAAGTGAAACAAGCAAAATAAGCTTAGAAAGGTTACTATTACAACATTTACTATAAAACTGCTTCATCTGTCCTCCACTGCTCACAGCAACTATTGATGACATTATGACGAGCATTACAACACACACACACACACACACACATTTTTTTAGGAACCTCAACAGAACATGACCTTGTGAAACACAGACTAAAACAAGTCTTAATGTTTGCAGACAAAAACAAAGCCTGTATTCATATCCGACTGCTGGCTGTATTACATCTGGATCATCTGGAACTTAAGTAGAATGATTTTCTTTTTTTTCCTTCAAATTTCTTGACCCTTCATTTATTGTCTGGTTTCTCAGCCTGTGTGGAACCTCGCCATGCACAGATACAGAGATGGACAGCACAACACCCTGAACTCTGCCTTTGCATAAGAATTACAGTATATTTCCATGTATTTACGTGTTATCCTTTCACATACCAAACAACAATCTTGATATGGTTTAGATGTGTTCTTTTATTGTAACCAAGCTAGAGACTACTGAGATATTTTACAGTGTAAAAACCAATCTGTGGTTTATAAATTACTTTAAACCTAGTTTAGCATTTCTGTACTGACATCATATCTGCAGCAGTAGGTCAGTATATTTACTCATGTGCTGTACGTTTTTTCAAATTTGTACTTGAATTGTTAAATTTTCTGCTGCTTCAGCTCTGTCTCTGTGATTTGGGCCTATTTTGCTTCCATAATATGTCTCAGGAGGCTGATGATGAGGCTGGAGGTGAGGAAAGTCAGGCTCTGTGAATATAGCTTGTGTCCAGGTCTTCGTTTTGTTTTTCTTTTTAGTTTTCTTCACAAAAATTAATGAAATGCTGAGGTATGGGCCAACTTTATATAACTATTTAAAGTTTTCTTGCACCTCCAGGTTGGGAACGAGTGGTCTGGGTAGCCAACGCCCCTGAGTGTAGTCCCCCATCGATATGGTAAAATATTTCAATGAAATGTAATTTTCTTCTGAGTGAAACACAGAATACATTTTTACCAGTTTTTATAAAAACTGATAAAATTGACAACAGATCCATTTCCAGTTAGCAGTGAAGCCCAGTTTCCCTGAATGACAAACAATATGCATCAACACTGTCTCATTGTGTCTTTGTACAGTTCAGGTAAACTGAGCTCTTAAAGTACCTGTGCAACACTGCCCTCTTGTGTTTCCATGGAAATACTGCAGTGAAGTTAGTTTTAGGTCGTTCACTCCGGACTCAGCACTGTCTTCAGTTCCATCCATTGGCTGTTCTCACTGTTAACCACAGGAGTTGCATTTAGGGACCGTCAATAAATTACTGAAGAAATTTGCAGTTTATTTTCAATTCTTCCAAGTCATGTGACGCAGTGACTCCAAACCAATGCTGAATTATATTACTACATTATAAAAACAGGACACACCTCTTTTCATACATTTCTAATACTTCTTGTATTTTATATTGATATTTATATTATATTATATAGACTCCAAATCAATGCTGAATTATATAACTTTACTAGACAATTAGGACATAACATTCTTGTATTTTATATTAGTATTTATATATTCCCAATAGCTCCAAAACTCAGATTAAAAAGTCCTGAAACTGAGGGTCTAGCAGTTTGTAAACGCTAAAGTAGAATAATGTTCTAAATTTAAAGCTGCAGTACATATATTTTTTTTTAAAAACTAACTTTTGTCATATTTGCTAACACTTTCACTATATCCTGACAGTAGAACATGAGACACACTTATTGTTGTTTTCATTCAGGCCCAGTGGATTCTTGCAAATGAGATTAGGAGCACTAGGAGGAGCCAGAGGAACCTGTTTTTTTCACAGATATCAGTCTCATGTTCTACTGTCAGGATATAGTGAAAGTTTCAGAAAATATGACAAATAGTTATTTTATAAAAGTTACCTACTGCAGCTTTAAACACGACGTTGGTATGGGTTAAATTTAGCATTACAGTAACAGATAAAAATCACTGAGTTAATGCACGCAAGTGGCACGTATCAAACACACCCAAAATGTTGCATTACCAACAGGTGATTAATGCCCACAGTGGGTCCTCCAGCGCTGCTTTCTATTTTCTATTTACTACGTTGTTCATATTCTGTCATTGTATGAGCTGTTTGAGGACTTTCTGCTGTTTCTCACAGTTTCTGACGCAGTTCTGACTTCAGCTCAAAAACAGGGTTTGACAGGAAGGCAGAGTGGACTGGTTATAGTGGACAGGGAGGCAATGTGCCAGTGTAACTTATTCTTATTGCCTCCAGAGCATTTATTTACAGTGCAGTTTATTTTTTTTTAAAAAAGGCATTCAGAAAATGGTCTAATACAATTGAAGTATATTTTGTAGTCCCTTTATTAAGCACATTTATGGCCATTTCATTTTTATGGCACATGTCATACATTTCTTAAAATAGGCTCCTGTTATTGAACCAGAGCCTCTGGCTCAGCTCAGAAACAGCAGCTCTGCATTTACTACCACTTCTGGCCTAAATTACAGCCAGATTTAGCAATGTTTATACCTATGGTTATATGTGTGCAAATATAGCACTTCAATTATTCTGTGTAATTATGCTAACCCTTATAATTCCCAGAAGGCCATAATATTACATAATGCTTGGTATAAAATCCTAAAATATGGTAAAAACATCAACAACTATTACACAATCGTGTTTTGTTTCATTTATATTGAACTATGTTTTGTATGTATGTTGTATGTTTTAATGCTTGGGTCTTCATTGCATTACTAAACTAAAATGTTCTAAGTGGTATTCAACAAATATGTTATAGCAGTGGTTCTAAACCTTTTTCCTTAAGGGATCCTTCTATATCATTGAGGAAAGTGACTCAGTGACATATTGTATGGATATTTTATATTATATTAAAAACTGTACAATTAACCTAAATAGTGAACTCAGAAACTGCAGCAAGCATTTGTAAAAGGAGTGATTTGGATGAATTAGCAGAGTATATCCTGTATTTATTGTGATCATACAAACTGACTTTTTTCTGCCCCAAAATAATTAGATTTCACTTGTTGGATGTATATTTTTGAAAAAAGATTGTACCTCATTCTTTTGTACCTGTTGAAATATCTTCTAAGGTCAGTACAACCTATATAATGCACGTTTATTGTACAGTCAACTAATATTCGACTATAATTGATTTGCAAACAAATAACAGTAAAAAGTATAATAGGTCCCCTACAATGCAAACATGTATTATCTCCACTCACTATTGTAAGTAAAGCAAATGATATATTATATACCTGTTTCCTAAATTACAGAAAGTACTATACTTTTAATTTCGCCACTGTTGAAAGCTGCTGTTTTGGTTGTGTCACTGTTATAGTTCCTGTAAGCATAACAAACCAGTGCAGAGTACAGCACTCATTTTTTTCTCAGTTTTTATAAGTTAGGCTAATACAAGACATAATAATAGGAACCTATAACACATTTGTTAAATACAATCCAGATATGTCCGGCTTTGGTAATATCAATAAGACCCAAGCACGGTAACACTATTGTATGTTGCGCCAGCCACCAACATACAAAACATAAGTCAATACCAATAAAACTTTCCTATATATTTTTTACATTATTTATACCAAGCATAATGTAAAAATTCAGCAATTCTGGAAATGAATAAGATTTAGTGTAATTCAATTGAACGATATAAGTGATATATGAGCGCAGCTACCAATCATAGGTAAAACATTGCTGACTTTATCTGACTTTTTGAAGCCTAAATGAAGAGCCGTTTGGGAGCTGGCTCTTATTGGTGAGCACAGCCAAATGATCACTAAAGGAGCCAGAATTCCTATTAACTCACGAGCACAAGCTGACACAGTGTGTATCCAATCAGATAAAACCAACAGACGTACAAGTTATGGGAGTGATTTATTCCAGGATGCAGGTTGAGTGCACTACGCTCCCTGATGAGGACACACAACTGTTTCTAATAACAAAATCAAGAAACCAAATAAACCAGCAGAAAGAGGAAAAGAAAACGGTGTGGTCAAAATTACATGATCGGTGCCATCAGATGTGAAACTCCTTCACTGTTATATCGGAATATCACAATTCCCACTTTCCCCTTTGTTAAAGGGGACACTGATACAATGACAACATCACTAGAAAACTAACAAGTAGAACATGAGCAGAATATGTACAAAAAATGAATTAAGGTGTAAATCAGAACAAGTGAATGTGGTCTGCTGTTCGTATCAAATACAAGACGGACCAAGACGTGATCTTGGTGCTAATGGTAGCATTGGTAGTCTGTAAAGGCCTTTCATCCAAAGACCTTTTGATACAGTCTGTAGACTTGTTCAGTTGCTGTGCGATATGTGTCGACAGCAATGCTTATATCATTAGTGCAATCAAACAAACAAAAAGACTTCAGCAAAAGGCAACATAAACAATAACCAGTGTTTTACACGTTCTGAGATAACTGACAAAAACTGACTGAAGTGTATCAAAAATATCCATATACATAGTTGTCACTGTGTAGTTGTGAGTACCTTTTTATAAGAAGATGAAATTATTTCCAGTTAACAATGAAGACCATAAAATTATCTTACTCATGAGATTACACTGAAAGTATTGGAGATGGATACATGTGAAGCAGGCAACGCGTTGAGGAAACTGGAAACAGTGAGAATTTTTTAAATTCAAACTCAGTGAAGGGTCACTCCAAAAGAAAAAACAAAGCTGTGTATTTTGGTAGCAGTGTAAAACACACACGTCAAAGGGAATATGTACAGAGAGGAGATTGTTCATATTTACACATTTACATACAACAAACCAAACCTTTAAGGAGACATGATTTCACCGCGGGCTACGCCTAATATAGGCTGATACAGTAAAATATATCAACTACACCTTCCCTCCATGACAGCGGCCTTTGTCTCCAGGGGAACGAGTCGGCTTTGACCTCTGACCCAGACAGTGTGGGGAAGAGGAAGAACGGGCATACTGTTTTTAGAAATAAATAAACTGGACAATGGGTAATGTCACTGAGCAGATTCACATCTGCTGCTTTAGGCACCATGGGACAGACGATGAGCTCCTACAAAGGTGGCGCTGATTTTAAACACCACTCAACAAACTTCTGTAAATGTGTGGACTTATAAACAAGATATGAATGTAGTGGGATTTCAAAAATGTGTAAACATACAATATATTCCAAAGAAGCTGAGTGCTCCAAGTACCTGTGAGTGGGAATTTAAGAAAGTGCAACACCGCCCTCTTGTGTTTGCATGTGTACACTTGTCACATGCAAATTCAAGGGTTTTTCATATCCTACATTCCATTGAGAGAATATTATTGCCTGTGAAGAGAGTGTGTCTAGTAATTGTGGGAAACAAAGAGAGTAAAACTAAAAGGGGGAAGAGTAAAAATATATATTTTTAATTGGACTACCCTAATGCACTCTGTTTGGCCTTCGGTGGCTACAGCCAATGGATGGTTCAACCTCCTCTGACTGTGAATATTTCTGGAAACCAGTGCAGTTCGTCATGCTCGCTGATTTTGAGTGTCTACAAGTACAGACAACATACACACTGAGTTTTTTTTTTTCTTTTTTAAAACACAGATGAGTGAGTGTCCTTTTTGTTACGCCATCAAGACCTCCATCCTCACTGGGTGTCAGTGCAGTTCTCCAGGGCTGGTGTGGGACGTGAAGAGAAGATAAGGGGGCTCGCAATCATGTAAAATACATTAGGTAAAGCAGAGTGCCTCCCATCCCCTTGCAGAAAGAGATTGAGTAGGGTAGTAAAGGTTCCTCCACCAGCCTCAGCCCCCACCCCACCCCCAAAGAAGAAAACAATTAATATACAAAAGCTGGAGCTGAAGGGTTGAGGAGGCCATGGAGTGGAGGTGAAGTGTCCAAGGGAGAGGAAGAGAGAGAAGGAGGAAGGCAGAGTGGAGTCCCTGTGCTCATTAGCCGGCTAGGCTAGGCTAGCTCGTTAGCATTGCCATGGCAGCCATCAGCTGGTCAGGTAACTGTGTAGTTCTCTGGAGTTGATGCTCAGGACCACACCAGAATGGTTGCCTGGCAACAAGAGGGAAGAAAGAAACAGGACAACAATGAAATAAGCGATGCTAAAAGAATACAAAGTCCAGATCATGACACAGTGTGGCTCACTAAAGGTACCCTGTGGAGTTTTCTGATAAATGAGTGCTTTTCGTTATGCTATCTTATTCTTCCACGCATCATCTGACCTCCTCCATCATGGAGGATCTTCCAAATTCTTAAAAGCCGCTCGGGGGAAACACGGTGTGCCTACGCAGACTTTTTTTATCAAAGGTGCTGTGGTAGTGTCTGTATGAGGATATACAGATACAATAACAGTCACATGGTGAGATGGAATATAATGTGTGCGGTCAATCTAACACCATAGAATTTACAGGATCATTTAATTGCAAAGTGGAGCCTGACTGATTTTACCGGTTTATTGACCACAATACCAATTCTAGAAGGGAAAAATTCACCGATTACCAAGATGGTGGCCAATATTATGAATATTTGAGCTGGTATGAAAACAGACTGATTTTGCACAGATATGAGTATGAAAGGTACTCAGAAGGCTTTCTTAGACGCTCTTTAATAATATTTGTTTAAATTAAACATTCTTTAACATATAGGCTACAATGTCAACCAATTCTTGAAGTGAACCCTTTTTGAATGATATAAAAACAGTTTTCATATAATATATATGCCAGTACTGATATGTCTGCAATAGGCCAATATCGGGCTCTGTTGCATCCCACAAGCATTTTAAACAGACAGACACATTCTTACGCAGCTATGTGGTGTATTATTGTGCTGATCATAATAATGCAAGTAAATAGATCATAACACAGCACTGATCTGTACGTCAATTAGACTATTTAAAAGGAATATTAAATTATTATTAGAATCCACAGCAGTAATAATTGCTATGTTAAACAATCTACATAGCTAAATTGGTACCAGTTGGTTTGACAGACTGACGAATGTCTATTCAACAACAGTTCCAGTGTTACAGAATATAATAATTACAGTATTCACACACACACAGATATGTAGATTGTTATTTAGTAGTATTATAACGGTGTATTGTAATCATTATAACATATAATATTTATTTTAAAGCTACTACTTTATGTATGCAGTGTAACCTGGTTATTTAGGGTATTTACTTGCATCATTGTTACCTGCACAATAATGCTGTGTAAGAACAGGGATGGATTTCTTTTTCTGCCTTTAAGATGATTTCATAACCTGCAAAACCATAAGTTGTAGTTTTTACACACCTGAGGGTAGGAAGGGCTGAGCTGTAGTGAACAAAGGGGGATGATTTAATGTTCCATAGCTCTGTTCAAATCTGACATTGCTATTGTTACCAACAACAACAAACAGTTCTGACTGAATTTTTCACTTTACTTTACTTTTTTCTAATAACTAAATTATTTTGCATCGATATATAAGAATGTGTGTATGTTGGTTGTTTTGTGTGTGTTACTTATTCTACAATACAAACTGCTGCTTTGTGTGATTAAATTATCATATTATTATTTATATGCTGTGTTATATCACACAGCATGATTGCATTGTATCTCACCATGTAACCATGTTCTATTATATTATATGTAGATAATGCAACACTACAAAGTGCAGTCACACCAAACATGAGCAGCACTCTGAGCCACAAGTGAAGGTGTGTTATTTTTAGATCACACCCACCCAACTTGATAAAAAACTTGTAGGATACACCTGTGTTTCCTTGCTCTTAGCTTCTCCAGAAGCCTCCTCTCTCCTCGTCTCCTCAAGGTGCATTTAGGGAACTGGAATCTCCTCCGTGATGGCAGAGGGGGAGCGAGGACATGTGGAAGCACAAGTTAGCGAATAAAAAGCACCCAGTGTGAGGTTGAGGGAGTGCATCTCAGCTGCATATGATCTGCAATGCCGACTGTGGCTGCTATGGCAAACTCTCACAGCACCGCTCCCTGGGGCTTGGTTTACATCAGTGATGGAAAATAAATTCACTCAATACAATTTTCATATTAACTCTTTTAAAAAACAAAGACTACCCCTAACCCATTACAAATAATTCGAGAGTGTCCTCAATATATATGAAATATGTTCTATTGTCTTTTCTCCAAAGCACCCTTTGTGGTCAAGAACTCCACATGGTACCTTTAATGTTTATCAGATTGACATCCATGCAAAATGAATAATAGTTTTATATACACAAGCCCTTTAAATGTTGGTCACGCTCAGTGATGTAGTGGTAGATAACAGAGTAACTTTCACTTATGGTCATAATGTCGAGCAATGTGCGCGCACAGACTAAGGATTTCTTTATTCTTATTAGTTAGTGAGGATATTAATCATAGTTATTAATGTTACCATCAACACCTCTGTTAACCTTCCACTACATCCCAGACCACAAGGCCTTTCGGCGTCATCATAAGCATAGCCATCATATCATATTATATCATACTGCCATGGAATATACTGTACGTTGCTTTGGGAAGGCGTGAGTATGGCAGTGTATTGCTGCCACACCAGAAGCTCAATATCATGTTATTACAACATACACAACATTTACATTAGAACATTGTTATAACATGATATTGATAAGATATCAATACACTGGCGTACATGACTCACCATAAGCAAATACAACTAGCACTCACATCACAAGTTTACCATAATGCAGGATACATTTGTGACAGTTATGACCAACCATCAGTTAACAGTTGTCTAAATGCAGACTACACAGTTTAAGTGCAAATCTATTTAGAGTAGTAAGTCAATTTAACGCCATAGTGGCAGTGTATTTTCCTGTTTTGCCACAGCACTGTGGCACAGTAACAAGATATAGTCATGATATGTTCTGAATGTGGTTGCAAATGCAGGTGATGACCGTAAAGTGCCTGAGACCAACCTTTGAGGCAAAAGAAAAGCCTTTCAGTAAAAGCAGTGATAATGATGAAAAAGGGGAAGTCCTCCAGTACCTTTGTGTGTGTTAGCTGCTGGTGTTAGTGGCTTGGGTTTTAGTAGCAGTGGTTAGTGGTAGTCCTTATAAGGGAACGGAAGGCGGGGCTACCTCCTGCGTTACCTAGAGTCTGCGAGTCCAGGTCATCGTCGATGAACTCCTCGCCCTGGATGATGTGCTGGGTGTCCTCGCTGTGGTTGACGGGGCTGGTCATTTCCTGCTCCTTCTCGTTGTGCATCTGGGCGTAGACGTTGCGGCTGCCTGGAAGCTTCCTGAAAAACAGCGGAGGATAGGCATCCTCAGTCCTAAGCCAAGGACTGTGGGATTTGTTGTTTTTGTAAGATGGGGCTGTAGTTTGGCACTGCATGTTTTAATTCAAGTGACTTTTCGGTGGACATTGTGTTTGGGAGGTGAGGAGGTGCCGCTGGTGTGTTAACATGAAAAGCAAGCATGCAGTTACACAAGGGGGTTAAATAAAATTGTACATCATCCCATCCCTAATTAGGTCTCATTGTTGCAAATTAATCAAGACTAATCTATGGCCCACCCCAACAATGTATGTATTCATTGTCATGCACTGGATGAGTATTGTAACATGCGTCCACCAAGCTCACTGTTGATGCTTTAAAACTCAACTGGGAACTTTGTTGATTTTCAGAACATCAAGAATGACCTCATAGTAAGTTTCTGCCCTTCAGAGTGTGGCTACTGGGAGGTATGAAATATTATAGTGTTTACATGCTCAATGTATGCTGCAGTATCTCCATACTCTTGAGAGTAAATCCCCTGATTTACAGGACAACATAGCAACTGTGTAATTACTGGGGTCATTAGAATCTGGGGGCCTACAAATCCAATCGTTGGTTAGAACACAGATATAGAAACGTAACATTGGCTGCTGCTGGATGCTGCCACTATACGTCTGGCCATATTGTGGAAGTCCAGTACTCCAGTACTCCAGTACTGAGAGATGGAGACTTCACGACAAAATGTAACTCACTTCATTCTGAACCGATTTTCATGAAATATGGTTTGTTATAAATGTAAGAAACTGGATGGTATACTGGTTACTTGTAGGAATTAATTCAGTTAGTGGAGGCAGATGGAATCAGCTCTATGCCAAAAAAATAACCTTCTTAATAGCCACAACTTCCACTGTCTGGGGGCATGCAGGCTGCCATAATGAATGGGCAACATCAATGTTAATTATTTAGAATCTTAGCTTCTGTCATTTTCTCTAAAAACAAAGACAAAGATTTCCATATCAATTATAGTGCTGTAAAGCCACCTGCTTGCTTGATTGTGGAAAATGGGAAATTTGCAGGGTTGTGAGCTTTCTGCTATCATTACTACACGATCGTAGTTGAATAATTGGCTTGTTTCAGCCTGACCTACATTTCATTTTCAATCAATGAAAGTGACGTTGTGTGGCTCCTGTCTGTCATGCAGCAGCCCTGACAGCTGCAGTATTGCTCCTTTTGTTTTACACAACCAATTATAAATTGAATTAAAAATATTTACTCAAATTTAAAATATTCAGTGACAGCCCTGTTAACTAGTGGATCTTCACCTTCCCAATATGGCGCAGATGCACGTCATATTGACAGCACGCTATGTACGTTTCTATATCTATGGGTTAGAAAAAGCAGAAGAACCACTACCTAATATTGCTACTGCTTCTGTTTTTGTCTGTAGAGAGTGGTCAAAAAACATTGACATGACATGACTCACCTTTTGAACTTGTAGAGGATGAAGGAGCCGATGGCAATGATGCTGATTAGGAAAATGACTGCTAGAGCCCAAACACCTGGACCTCCAGCAGCTCCATGGTAGCCTGGGGTGATAATATAAATACATAAACCAATTTAAAAAATCGCATCATGTTTGCACCATTAGAACATAATTTTACACACAAACCCAGAAAGTATAGTGAGGAAGAAGAAGATCTTAAGACAAAAACTGCAGGAGTGGAGGGATAGAAGTGGTAAGAAATTCAAAACATCCAACTGAAGTTTCTCTTAAAAAAGTCCAACTCCACAGAAATCAAGACCACTTTAAACTCAGTGAAGGATAATCAGGCGGATGAAAAAGCACGGCACAGACAGGTTATAACCGGAGAAGATGATTTGTTCGGAAACCAGGACAGGAAAAGGTGCAGGAGTCAGAGAGTATCAAGGTTAAGTGCAGGTTTATGGTTCATGAACGCACCAGTCTCTGCTGTTGTAGCTGTTGAGTCATTAGCAATTAGACCTAGCCCGTGGAAATAAATCAATAACATGCAATTATCATTAAAAAACATCAAAAATTGTAGTTTTAAATAGCAGACTATATAGGAAATGAAATAGCATTTAAAAGTACAGTACCAGCGTTTGGGTCAGCTAGCATCACCAGCACTTGTAGACCTCCTCGCACCACAAAGCTGACATTGTTGTCATTGAAGGCCTGCGTGATGGCTGGAATACGCTGAAGATAAGAAAACATTCAATTAAAGAAAGTGTCATCTCTTACAACCAAAAAGTTTGCAGGCCTGACTACTATAAAATTAAAAAAAAATATGAATATGTGTCTGTGCCTCTCTGTGGTTTCAGAAAATAGAGTGCTACAGAAATGAGTCCTAAAACCCGGAACTGAATTAGCATTTTTGCACTTTGGGTTTCTTCTCCTCAATGGGTTTTTTATTAAATAAACATGTTAAATACCCCACCTGTGAATTTTGATGCTTTTACATTAATTTGCTAACAAGTGGCTTAATGAGACTACAGAAGTAACTGACAAATATATTTTATTTCCTGGATGTACCTTATCAACAAACATGCCCCTCTTGGCTGGTTTGCTGTCCAGTGGGAGGACGTACAGGTCAGCTGTGGTGGGGAGGCCCGGCTTCACCACCGTAACCAGGGACTCCTGAGGGACACCTGTGATCTGAAGGCAGATGGTTTTGAGGTCAGTCACATCTTAAAACTCTACAGAGCATTTTAGCCTCTTTTAGCTCTGTTTCTGTTTTGCGCCCCACAAACTGCTCTCATCAACCCACTGTATGCTACATGCCCATCACAAAATGGCAGACAAAGGTAGCAAATAGCCTGTGAGCATTAAGCTTGTAATACTAATTAGTTACACTACTAGTTATTGGGGAAGGTAATATTGGTGCTCTAATACCAATAAGGCTAAGTTATGACCCACCCTACTCTGCCTCTGAATGGCTTACCATAACACTCCTCATAACTAAACCTAATCAACCAAACCAGTGAAGGCAACGAGAACTAGCCAATCAGAGGCAGAGTAGGGTGGTCAGGACTTTGCCATCCTGGGAGCTGTACATTATGTGCAGTGTTCATTAGCACATGCTAACACACAAAACTAAGATGGTAAACATTATAGTGGCTGTTGTTAACAGCATGTTAACATTGGCATTGTGAGCACATTAACATGTCGATGTTAGCATTTAGCTGCTGTGTTTAAGTATACAGAGAGCCACTAGCATGGCTGTAGACTGATAGCGTTGTTTAGTTTTATTCCTACTTAAATTTTATTTATTTATTTATTTATTTATTACTCTAAACACATAGTACATGTACTGTGTGTTAGCAAGTTATGTAACATTACTTGCATAGGGAGGTTAAACTCACATGGAAAAAACATGATTGCTTATAGCGCTATTTAGAACAGTAGTTGTGCACTATTGTGATCTGTAGTAACAAAATTAATGTTCTAATTAATTACACTACTAGTTAATGGGAAAGTATAATTATTACTGTAATATTATTACAAGTAATGAGTTACTGCTCAACACTGGATGTGTTTTATGTTTCTTTTTCTGTGCTGGAGCCACTAGTTCAAGAGGGCTAGTGTTATGGACGCTAACTCAAGGAAAGCAGGCAGGTTGTGTTGAAATCATCATTTATAGTCAGTTCATTTTAAGGTCCTACCTTAGCGAGTATTTTGGTGACCACCTGGCCAATGTCCTCTCTCCACTCTGGGATATTTGGGTTGAATCGGTCCAGGTTCGTGCTGAAGCTCAGTGGGATGACCTGGAAGTTATCTGGAATCGAACAGAACGGGCAAATAGTTAGCAATCACAGCAGCATTAATTAAAAATCAGGTATTCAGGTGGTGTGGGCATTCCTTTTTGGTGTGGTACCAGGAAACATTATCTTGAGCAGACTTATTGTCACGACCCATCGGCCGTGATCCTGGCCTGCTGCTTGCCACTG